GTGTGTGTGTGTGTGACCCTTGAAGTCACAGGGATCCTTTTGGAGTGTTCTGCCTGGCTTTTTACCTTGTTTGTTGGCAGGGGGACACACCATTTCACTGGGACTGTGTCCGACGAAGCTACCAGTGAAATGGGATATTCAGCTTGGCCAGCTGGACGTAATGCACTCTGCAGACAAGAGCGACCGCCGTCACTTCGACCTGTTCGTCGCTTCGTGGCTTTGGAACTTTGGCCTTTAACTAAAAGCGCTCAGGCCCCCTCACCTGGTTTTTTCAGGGTTTGGTTTCTTAGGCTGGCATGTGGCACCGCTGTCCAGTCAGTACGCATAATCATAAGTGTGCGTGTGTGAGTCCAGGCTTAAATTCGCAAACCATGAATAGCTTTAAAACGCTTCACAAAGGGCAAGAGCCAGGCAAAGAATCACTTTTGCGCCAAAGAAAAAGGCTCCCCATGATGTCTCATCTTCTTCTCCCATGAGACTCCCCATGGCTCCTCACAGCGAAAAGCACTAAGCCCCCTGGAGAAGAAGCCCTTGAGCTCCGCCACTGAGCAGCCATCCTGACTGGGTGACCTGTGAAAATGGCAAAGCGATCCACCCTGACTCGTTCGCTCTCTCTCTCTCTCTCTGTCTGTCTTTCGAAGAACATGGGACCCATGTGCATTCCCACCATGATACTCACTTTGATACGTGAAAGAAGTCCGGTTGAGCTCAATGTTGATCGCCCTTGAGCCTTACAACTGTGAGTCTGTTGTTCTCCTCCTTGTAGCAAATACGGTTTGAGTTTGAGCGGGGCGGGCTTGGACAGAGATGGATGATTGATTTCTTTCGAAAGTGTTGTCAGAAGGATGTTTTTTTTCCGGGGCAGACATGGCAACCATGGGACGACCGCCAAGTGGTCAAATTAACATGAGGCGACTGCCAAGTCAGAACTCACACCTTGGGATGATACGCTTTCTCTTTGCACTCACCATGGATGGGGCGAGCAAACATGAGGAAACAACTCCTTGCTATACCAACACCATGTAGAGCTGCAGGCCTTGAGCAAAGGTCTTGTAGATAGTGGAAAAAGGTGTGTTTGACCTGCTACATGAACGGCGAACTTGACCTCAAAAAGCTCACTGCCTCAGCTGAAGTACGCAGGTGAAGTGCGCAGGTGAACGTTGGTCTGGAGACCGGATCCGAAAAAGAGATTGTCCCAAAGCGCTCTGCGATCGCACAGCGACCGTAGAGGTGTTGACTACTGTGCTCCAACACAGCAGGACAGCAGGGGCACTGTCCAAGAGCTGGGGAGTGGCAGGCGGGCCACAAACTGGGGTCAACTTGGCCGTTATTGGTCAATTGGCTTACAGTACGTTCCCGTATAGTTTCTATCGGGATGTGGGGAAGGCTGTGGTCACTGCTGTGGCTGTCTCTATAGTATGGCAGCAGCATTTCTATTCAAAGGAGTGGTTCAAGGTGTCTGTGCGTTCTTCCAGTGATCTCAATGTTCGGCAACCTAGAGTTTCCATCAGAGATGGTAAGCTTTGTTTAAGACCTTTAAGGATTCCTGCACCAAATACACAGCAGGCACGCAGTTTCATCATGAAACCAACCCAAAAGTTGGGCCAACTCAAAACCTGGAGCTAGAGGTGTCTTCATGACCCTTATTGAATAAGGCTTATTGGAAGTTTCATCATGCCACACATCTGTGAAATGTTCCGGCCTCAGCAAGGACAGCATCAAAGCGCCACCTTTTGTCAGAGAAATCACGCACGCTAGGCTGCTGCAAATGCCCAAGAGGAACAGAAGCATCTTTGTCTCCTGCTGAAGAATATTCAGAAAACCAGACTCCAAAGCACTGTCTGTGTCACATGCTAGATGTGTTTTTTTTCGTGCAAAGACATGCGAGAAATCAAGGCTTTACGGACCCATCGACTTGATCTTTCAAGCTGCATGGTCTCCAACCTATTTACTAGCAGTGGCCTCCAACCTACTAGAGAGGGCCTCCAACATCAAAATGCAGGGAAGGAAGAACTTTGACAAGTCTGAACACCTCTGCGCGACCGTCCTGATAGGTACCAGGCCAAACCTCCGATAAACGCGGCGGCCTCTTTCCTTGTGCTGCAAAGCAGGTCATGAGGAAAGCACACGGTCTATGAATACTATGAATCCTGACCATAGAGCTCAAATACTCCCTTGACTTTGTACACTTCATGCTATCAGAACTTAGCACAAAATCGAAGAGAAATAGTGTTCATCCAAGTTGCTTTCACCCTGCATGTGTTCAGGACTAGAGCACTTGGCAGAGCCGCACAGTATCAGGCAAAAGGCCATCATAGACCTGAGCGTGGCGACCCTCTGCAGGTTGTTTGGCATCGAAAGAGTTGTTCGAACATGACATGATCATCATGGCAAACAAGCAGCCAAAGAATCAGCATCAAAGAAACCTGTCCAGGAAAAGAGTTTCACAGGAAGTTTGTGAAACAGTTCATGTTAGCATCACCAAAGAAGTAAGTTTGACCTTCCTGTCACAGTTCATCACATAACAAAACAAGTCAGGCTATTGATATTGCCGTGTCAATGTCATCATTGTTCCGGCTGCACATTCCACGAAGGATTCTGCCTGAAAGCGTCTGTCGACAAGCCTGACACATGCAGGAAGCACGTTGGTCCCAGACTGTGAAGACAAAATTTTGTGTTGATGAAGCTGCCACTGTTGTTCCATGTTCCAAGTACGGAAACCTTTTCGCTTCAGGAACATCTTGAATCTTTCAAGGACAGTAGCTAGCAACACTTGGCAAAGGTAGCTGCTCCACCACCAAAATACTACTGTTTCCTTGATTGTTTTGAGCAAATTGTCTATAAACTACAGTAAAGCTTGCATAGCAACGTGACTCGCAGCCAGCAGCATCCTCATGTTGTGCCGAGCAGCATGCAGGATAGTGGTATGAGAAGCCAGAAACCCACAGCACTAGCCCCCAGAGCATGTCTGGTCATCGGCCTCGAGAACCAACAAAAAACGAAACTCATCGGTTGGAAGCATATCAAATTCTTCCTTTCAATCTGTGAACAATAATAGGTGGAGCCATCGCTATCAGGTGGAGGCCATCGCTACTAGTAACAAGAATGTTAACAATCATGATTTCCACAGGTGTCCAGAAGTGAACTATCCTGATAGTCACAAACCACCTGCAATTCACACCGTCTGTGGCACTTCACACTGGTACAGCCTCTGCGTGAGAGTCACAAGGCGATCCTTGCTGGAAGAAACATGGCAGAGGAAGCAAAAGATTCCATCTGGCATTGGAAGGTGATACACCAATAGCATCTTCGTCTTCCGAATGTGATGAATGTCTCTCACCGAGGTTTGTCAGAGTTTACGTATCACCACGTGTGCAATCTGTTAGTAACTCTTAGTAGCTTCCCCAGAATCTCATGATACTTGCCGCTATGTATCATCGAAGCCAGCATGTGAATCTCGCTGCAAAGATCTCCTCGGCTAGCGAAGAATGAGGTACGAAAAGTATATGTCTGAGCCCTCAAACTCATATGTTAGCATCATAAACTGTGATAGATCCTCATGGTCTAAGACAGTGTCACACTGGGAAAGGCTTCACTGTTGCGAAGCATCAAAATCCATCAGACTTGCTCCTATCATTGCCTTGATCGCTCCCCATGTTCCAGTCCAACCAAAAACAAAATGAAGTATATAGTGGGAACCAGTCAAGGCGAAAAAGTTCCTGCATAAAGTTGTTGCACGCTGCGGCTGAAACTTTAGAAGCTCTCTAGATGAAGTAATGTCTTAGCATGAACTGCCTAAAGAAAGGCTGAATAATGGATGGATGTGTTGTTGTCTAGTCTATGGAGAGCATCGCAGTCTCTCTCTTCCAAAGGGCTTTTGATCTACGCCAACCACAAAGTCTTACTTGTAAAACTGCGGCAAGGTGCGAGCTCGAGGATGCTATCCTGGAAAACACGTACGTTTTGATGCAAACCTAAAGGCTCTAGATTTGACTTGCTCTGTGGAGAAAAGGCTCCTCGTTCTCGAGTCCAGGCGTGCACCTCCAAACAAACAGTCCCCCATCCCCAAGAGGGATCTGTGGGAAAAAGAAGAGTTGATCTGTGCGGCAGGTCCTCAACATAGATACAGTAGAGTGAATGCTTGTCAACGGATTGGCTAGAACCCTATCTATTTGGGGTCACCTTACAGCTGTGATTTGCCTTGCAGCTGTCGAGAGAGGGATGCAATCATGGCACCACCATGCGACACGCGGGGTCAGGGTCTTTCCCGGTGAAATCGCTCTCAAGTGCTTCGCACCGCAAAGTCTCCAAGCTGTCTGTCTCCCCTAGGCACTGGAGTTCTCACTATGGATCAAGGCTTGCGGGGGGGTGGGGGATCAGGAGTTTTCAGCTGACAGCATCTCCGCATGAGCCCTGTTTTTTTTGGGAGGATGCCATGCTCTCAAGCTCTGCCAAGTCTTTAACTTCCTCATACAGCAACCACAATTCTCTTGAGCCCCACGGCTCTTTGTGCATGACACTTTGCCTAAGCACAGGAGGAGGGTAGCATCAGACTCTTGTTACGCACGCACGTCAAGAAACGAAAAAACATCCTTTTTTAAGGCTCCAGCATTGAAGTTGAAGACATGCATCCCTTCACTGCCTCTTGACATTGGAATTTTGCAGGCTCGTTTGCCAAAGGTTGTGCTATGATGTCGCTTCCTGATCAATCTCCCTGGTCTCCACACAGGAGTGTGGCTTTGCGAATTCTATTAACCATACATGCGATACGCAATACTTTTGATTTGGATGTATATACTGCACTTACATTCCGGGCCAAACAAGGTTCTTTACTTGCTGGATGTAAGAATGCCACAGGCAGCTGAAAAGCCGTCGCCAACCTCCTGTTCGGTCTTGAACGTACCTGGCCAAGACCTGTCTTCCGAGCAACGCTGTCAACACCTGTGTCTTCTCTGATTGAAATTGACCACTCGAATGGGCAATCCTTCTTCCCTTCTTCTTTTCAGTCTGGCTTGGTCAGCTTTTACACAAACGGTTCAATGTCAAGGGACACACACAAAACATCAAGGTATATAATCGAAAACTTATTCTATATATATATATATGTGTGTAACATATAGTCTATATAGACTCAAAGGCAGCTTTACTTTGTGTGCAAAAGCCATTAACTAAAACCCACTGGGGCAACAAACAAAAACCTATCTGTCCCTGTTTCTGTTCGCCTCATCTGACTCTACAAAGCCTAGGGTCTTGGAGAAAGTATGCATACACGCTCCAAACATCCCTAGCCTCGTCCAAAGGACCCAGCAAAGTGCCCTGGTGGAAGAGCGCCAGTATGCCGGGCATGCTCTACTGCAGAGTGTTCAGTAGTACCCGGTGTCACTCTTCCAGCCAAGGTTTTGGGGAAATTTCCTTGGAAGAGCGATGGCCTCTGACCTAATAGCGATGGCTCCAACCTAAGAGCAATGGCCTCCAACCTAATAGCAATGGCCTCCAACCTAAGAGCGATGACCTCCAACCCAAGCAAAAAGAAGCCAAAGGAAAGAACAGATCGGTTGGGGCCCGAACTCCGAACTCTGGTTACCACAAACCACCCATGGGTCACGCACCTTGGTGATTTCATGGTGTACCGGTCTTGCAGTCCTGGGAGACAGCAATAGATGGAGGTCTGCTCCGGATGAAGAATGCAAATCAACAAGAAAGCCCCTCGAGGACATAGCACAAACATGTCTGAATTGAGGACATGTCTTTAGGTGCTCTCTAGCTGCATCTTCTAGCTGAGGACTCCAACAAAGAGGATTGACAAGGGGTGTCAGGATGACGAAAGGGAAGGCCACGCGGAGCGCCGGCCTAGGAACGGGGCGAACGGGCAACTCTTTAACAAGCAAAGAATCTGCGCTCATAAATCCCTTTCAGGGAACCGTGAGCCCTTTTTGAAAAAAGAGCCTTTGGTTCCAACCACCCAGTCTGGGGGCCCCGTGCCATTCTCAAGCCACCAGCCTCTACCTGCGTCATTCATCAACGCCATCGCTTTTTTGATGCTGAAAATGCAATCCACCTGACCATACACTACTTCTCGTCATGTCCCACTTCGTCACCCTACCAGCGGGTTTTCCCTAAGAATCCAAGCGGCTTTTCCAAAGACGCAGGCTCCACAAGCAGGCTCCACTCAGTCAAGTTCAGTCAAGTGCTTCAAGTTGACAGGAGTTTAATAAGTCAACGTGAGAAGTTTCACTTGTCAAACGGCCTGCAAGGGTGAAGGCCGTTTCAGCTGAGATCTGGCATTCCGAGTGTCGGCATCACTTCATAGCTGGAATCGCGATTCGCACTGTTGCGATCGTATCAAGCCAAAGCAATCAAAAAGGTTGCAGAGTTGCTGATAAAGCCTTGAATTGGCAAGACCTAGCGACGTAGCCCTGCAGCTTCAAAATGGATCCACACTACATACAGTTGAGTTGATAGGAATGATCTTGTCAGCAAAACATACTGTACCAACCAGTCAGTGTACATGTTTGGTCAGTTCCAGATCTCAGAAGCCGACTCTTCCTGGTCGACCTTGTCGTCGCTCCGACCTTTTCACCGGACATCGGGGTTTTTCGTCCCTCAAGTGCCACCCGGCACCCTGTCTCCACCACGCGCACAGCCAGCACCCAGCACCGGCGCCCCCAAAGTGCTCAATTAACTTTGCCTCCAAAACACAAGCACTACAAAGGAACAAACAGACTCTGGCAGTCTATTTTGCACTACCCTGCGCCAAGGATGTGGTCTGAAACAGCTGCCCAGCCACTTCGAATGCCAAAGGGCGAAGCCTGACCAGGGGAGAGGTGGCCAAGTTGCTCATTGAATCGCACAAAATGAAATCAAGGATGCCTGAATAGCACTGCTGAGACTCTGCTAATGCTAAATACTTGAGTTGGCATCATTGACATAGTTTTACCAGTTGCATGTGCATCCGAACAAGAAATGTCCCTTCTATTTGGCGAAGAATCTGAAACTACACATCTGCAAGCAGTCCCCGACCCTTCTTGGATGAGGTCTGTTTTTCCCACGAACAGAATCCATAACCTCCAACACCGAACAAATCCTGAAGTCCCCTCAAGATCACCAAAACCAAAGCCTGAGCCCTCAACAAGCCATCCAGCGCAGGATCGGAGCCTGGCAGGTCCACTGGTTCCACGCTGCACGGGTCAGGAAGGTCAGGATCATTGGATTTGATATGCCATCAAGAGAGACATTTGAATACCTTCAGCCTTCAGCACCGGTCGCAGTTTTCTCACATTTGCCGCACCTCTATCCGCCCATGGCCTCAGATCGGACTTCGGCCGCGCAATTCTGATGCAAAAAGAAATGCAAGTGATCTGAGAAGCCGACAAAGGGTCAGAGTTTGGTTCAGATCGAATCCATGTCTCCACCTTCCACGCTGCATCAACGTCGCTGCTATAGGCATTGCATCAAAAACAACACGTCAACTCTACATTCATAGTTGGTATCAGAAAAATACAAATATATAGAAGGTTCAAAGAGATTCATCCTGGGAAAACCTTCAGACATCCTTGTTCAAATTCCTTCTCACGCTCCAAGCGCGCCACAGAACGGAAGATCCGGCTCGCCATATTGAAGGCGCTTTCTCTGATGGCACCCAAGGACTTGGTGTCATGCCGTTGAGTTTCATGCCGCTGTATTGCACGCGTCACCAACTGTCTGTTTTTGTTTTACTTCACCAAAAACGAAAACACTGCACCCTTCCATCATTTGTTTTTCTTGTATCAAGGAGCAAATGCACAACGTGGACGTGAACCAAGATGTTCAACTATTTTCCCAAACTGTTTTTTTTTGGTGCGCAGGTACAAGTCAGTCACCATATGCTGGGAAGTTATCTTTGGGTGACCCCACGCACCGAATCACCGAGGTTCCCAACATATGGATCTGCACGATATTCATGCGTCCTTCTTGAAGGACCGAAGCTGCCCCCTGCAAGGCTCCAATTGAAAAAGGGCTGAATACATGGTAGGTTTTCTATCTCAGAAACCATGAAGTGCAGCTTTGCAAGTCTCTATGGCAACGATGCCTTCCGCATTGAAGGCCATGGCCAAGGATTTTATTGACCGCACTGGCACACGTTAAAAGATTCAAGACTGTCCGACACCCGTGACTTTCCTTGTCTGTGGCGTCACATTCAACCGTGTGCTTCAATGAAACCCAAGTTGTGCAACACTCGTGGAGAAGGGGTTTGATCAAGCGTTGGTTCCAAACTCAAAGAATGTGTCAGGAGTGTAGTTTGTTGAACTGTTGTGGCATTTCTGCACACGACGTAGCTATCTTGCAGCCAAACCCTGCATTGTTACGTCCTTGTCAACGAATCAATTCAAGGTGCAAAACGGTTTGTGTGTATACAAACACAACTGTAGCTGCGATCCCATCAACGCCAACGTTGATCTTACATTTTTCATGTGCGGGCTCACGTGCCAAAAGAATTAACATACATACGTACATACATACATACATGCATCCATGCAGGCAGGCAGGCAGGCAGACAGACAGACAGACAGACAGACGGACAGACAGACAGACATACATACATACATACCGTTGCATTATATTGCATCACAGTACATTGCATTACGTTACGTTACGTTACCTTACGTTACCTTACATTACGTTACATTACATTACCAAACAAACAAACAAACAAACAAACCAACCAACAAACCAACAAACCAACAAACCAACAAACCAACCAACCAACCAACCAACAAACCATACATACATACATACATACATATATACATACATACATATATATATATAACAATTCGCTCTTCCTGCACGGCCATTTTCCTCCATACACTGAAAGTGCACAGGGTGGAGTGGTTTCCACCTTCAACCAACTTCGACTCCATTCGTCCCCGAGCACCCCAAGTCTTCCTTCAGCAGGAGGATGTACCAAGCTGTAGGCGCTATGCCCATTCGTAGGAAGTATTGGACCTTAGCAAAGACAGAAGGAAAAAGGTGAGCAAAGGTCATCACAAGCTCACGAGAGGAGGAAGGGATTCTCTTCAAATAGAGAAGTGAAGCTGTCTCCTGCACGTAAATTTCCATGATTTTCGACGACAGCCACCTTCCTTTCCGTCTGGTGTACTCACCATCTTCAAGTGCCAGGTGGCACCACCAGATCTGAGACTTCCAGGGTCAAGCGCTTTCAGGTCACCAATTTTCTGGATAGGAAGCTTTAAGGCATTCATGACATCCCGAAGTCTGGTACGAAAAGTCTGTACCGACCAGGGCCAGATACGAGCACTAGGCGCCAAGTTCCCAAAACAAAAATCAACAATCT